TTTTTTTGAAGTGCACTTTGTTATAAATCGAACCAGTGAAATAGCTTTAATTTTTAGTGAAAATGCATGAAAACATAAATATTATCTCACATAACGATTCCCTCCCACGACACTGAATCAAGTGAATGATTGAACATGGATAATAACAACGATTCAGTTCAAAAATATCTTGGATTCATGGAATTTTCTATGATAGGCACATTCCTACATGATGTGGATAGCCGGACTGGATGTTCAATGATAGTGGGCTAAGGTAATAAAGTCAAATGGTTCGCTTCACTGACATCAGCGTACGAACTTATTATCATAGGTATTATCAGCTGCTATTCTGCCTTATAATCATTATTATTATTATTACCCCCATGAATATTTACTGCTGATATTACTGTTAGTAATGGTCGTTCATTGCCCTCATTGTTGGAAACATATTGTGTTCACTGTATTGTTATTATCATTCTATTGTTATTATCATTAATAGACTTTGTTAACAGATCCATTATCACTGATAAAATTTTAACATTTCTTTCATGATTAAGTGGGTAATCATGAGATTGAGCTAGCATTCCACTCTCGATAACAGTGCCGGTGCGATCGTGGTCCATACTCTTGCCGTTACAAATGCGTATGTATGTATGCGTTTGTTGGAGTGTTTCCCGATAATACTAGGTGTAAATGTCAGATTGGAGTTTTGATCACGCTAACAAGCGCTAATGTAATATTTATTTTCGTTGAACTTCCTTATTTGTGTGTGTGTGTATTTGTTATGGCAATTGATAAAGTTGCGCGGATACGTTGAACATTATGGAATAAAAAGTTCATCGCGTGAGAGTTTCACGCTAGTAGTATGAGCGGCTTGGCCTTCTTACATCGTATTTCCTGCTTCATATGCGATAGCTTCGAACATGCAAATAACAATGGATCTATGCAATAGATGAAAGTTAAAGCTGAATCTTATACGGTTTTCACACTTCATTCTTTGCATCACTCTGATTATGTGAATCGTTAGCAGTGAAACGCGCTATTCATATCGCGATATCTCAGTCTCTATTATTCAGACGATTTGAGAAAATTTGTGAAAATCATTCGAGATTTCATTCAGTATGTAGGTTTTTTGCTTGATGACTGAATGCTCCGACAATGTTCCTGGCTTTGGAGGGTATATAATGGGGACATTTGTAATTGTTGTAGATTATCCCTACCTAATACTTTTCAAGATCACTAGAGTCGCTATGAGATACTACTGATCAACATTATATTTGATCAAATAGACTGTTTGAAGTGATATTTTTCTATCCAGATTTTCGTTAAGTGGAACCCTAGACCGCTATGAGGCCAGTGAGCAATAATTACAAACCTTTTTTTCCATGAACATGCTGTTGTTGCTGAATATTACATGAAGTTCGTAGGTGATACACAACACATCAGATGTGCGAGTTGCATATGATATGAAGTTCCCTCAAAAACTTATGTTCAGATGCAATTGCTAAAAAATATTGTCTTCTTAGAACATGACTGGTGAATTGAATGCGTGTGAATTGAAACAATCTGAAAATTCCAGCTGGTCTAACAACTTCAACGATAATTTGACTTTTCGATTCTATCGTTGGTTTGAAAATGAATCGCATTTTTCGTTTAGTTATTCTGAAGTCACATCGTGAATTTTGTTCGAGCAAATTTAGCCACACAAATGGATAACCGTGGGATTGGTGACGTATGGCATCAAGGTTTTGAACGACCGGCCGCCTTTATCGATCGAGCCACCTTACTTCGTGATCCTACCTCGCATATGCGAACTCCGCTGCTCGAAACTGCTCGTGGGCCATTCTTGGACAATATGGGCTTTTTCAACGACTACGATCCATCGCTATTCACCAATCTTGGCCACAACTTCGCNCATAACTTCGCTAATCACTATCAACAAAATACACAATTCCAGCAGGTTTCTTCTATCAAATATAACAAGTGAATTGTATCACCTATGTTTTACTTAATTTTAAATCACAGCAACACATTTCGAACTTAGTTATGTGTTAGCCAACAGTTATTATTAAATATAAGCTAAGTCTCATTAATGCAGACTACAATGGCAGTCCTTTAGCGCGATAAGCAGCCTTCCAATAGACCTTCGGATGTAGCAAACGACTAGAGACAACGACCCAGAATAACATCCATCTTCTTGAACCTTACCCTGGCTGTTCATCACATGAATGAACTCACTATCCTGAGCAAGCGCTCATCAAAAAATATGGATTCGAAAATTTTCAGGATCATTTTTTTAACAATTTCAATTCGATGGGATCACCGTTGCTCACTTGCGCTGAACAAACGCCTCCGATTGGTCGAACCACTGTGCTACAGTATTCCAAAGAGATCTCGCGTGCCATTTCCTCTTCACCTCCGAAACTTATGCCCGAAACGAGGTGAAACGTTTATATCACTTTATAATACAATGGCTTTATGACATTCAGCTCGATAACAGTTTTGATTCGATGCAGTTAGCCTGCTTTTCAAGTTATGAAACAACTGAAAATAAAATCTGGTAGCATTGTAAAAGAGCATTGCAAGAGCAGTGATTAAGCAGTAATATTGACATGGTCCTTGCAGAAATGAGCAGGTAATCTGGCGAATATTAATCTTGTCAGCAAAGGTTAATTATTAGTGTGTATCATTTGTGCTTGCTCTCAGCACTTCCAAAATGTCAACTAACTCAGCGAGATAATACTCCTAATGAACTGTTGATTATCGCTAAGGGATTTCCTCAGATTGTCTGCTTCTGCAACAATCGATTCATCTTACAACATCATCTCTCTGCTTAGCATCCAGTTCGAGTTAACTGCCACTGAAATTCTCGTGATTTCGATTTTACTTTGAAAAGGCTGAGTGAGCTGATCGATAGAATGATTCAAATTAGTGTTCCGGATTAAACGATTACCGTTTTGACTCGTTAGACAAATTCTCATACAAACTTACAGATTCCTAAAATAGCCTATAACACAAGCACAAGAATGCAATTTTCATTTTATCTTCTTTTTTTCAAACGAAAGAGTTCCGTTTTAACTCATGATTTGCATTCTCGTCCAATAAAAGTTCAGTGCTTAATTCACTTCATTCAATCGAACAGCGAAAGGAAATGAAAGTGATTATCTTTGCCTGCGTCTTTTTTAGTTTTTGAAATTTAGTTTTTATCATCATCATGAAATTTCTCAAAATTTCTTAACGATAATAACAAGACAGTTCGTACCGCAATCATTTGATCAAAGCAGAAGCCATCTCTAATTATGTCGAGTTACTGAACACCGTTTCCTTTTGATCGCTTCGGCCAATCATATCTAACGCATATGATTATATGCGATGCCGTATGGCTTAAATAAGTGCGGGTTTTTTCTCGAAGTTGATGAATGATAAAATGTGTTTTCAAAACAAAAATACTGCTATCGACAAGAGTTATTGATGGCGAGTGTAGTTCTTGTAGTCATGACTACTAGCTAGCATTCAGCATTACAACGCTATTGTTCTCGTGTATAACCTTACGACAAAGATCCGACGATCTAAATGAGTGTTTGAATGAGGAATGGAATATATATATATATAGAGAGTAAATGGTGAACTAGTAACTTTTTATTCAGTATTATTCTCAGCAACTCTGAACAATTTCGCTTCCTCAAAACGAAGGGATTTAGTCGGTTATGAATTTCCGAAAAATGACTTTTTTCATCGTAATTTTTCATAGGAAGCACTTCACTCAATTAACACTTATTTTTCCGATCGATACTTTCATTTCAGATTTCAATTAAACATTTTTCAAACGCCTCCACACACCTTATTGGAATTCATTTGCATTTGAGTGAGAAAATTATGAATTTCATTAAATGTGAGCAATTTTTTTGTGATGGAGCGAACAGACGAGAATCTTTATTAGGCACCGTTGACCAGGAAGCTATATCTTGTTTAGTCGTAGTCTATGAGTGGGGGTAACATTTTACTTCAGATGATCATTTCCTGGGCTATTCTTTGACTATCCAAATCAT